TGACCTACACTACATCGTTCGAGTACTACTTCTATAGCATTATTGACGATTTGATTGAACTAGGTCTGCAGGTTCAATAATAACCTTACATGTACTCTGTGAATCCACCCAGAAACATTTGCAGGAATACGACTATTTATATTGCCATTGTTTTTGGGAGTGGATATGCTCCTCCTGCATTATAAGAACATCAATGGGTGAGCTATGAAGATCCAGATTCATTTCTCTTTGCTATGTTTTTCATTCCCTTAGGTACTTGGTTGACGATGCTATTTCGTATGGCATTCATGTAGTTGCTTGGACGGTAAACGATAGGGAAACTGCAAATTTCCTACGCTCATTGAAAGTAACTCACAGATCTTTTGGAAAACTCTACTATATTTCCCTTTTTTAGGTTCCATTTTTAAGTGACGAACCTCAGAATTTAAAGGATAACAAGCAATCAAAAAAGTTAAAGCCTGTTAATAAAGTTTGAAAGTGGTTGAAAAGGAAATGTCAATTCACTGGAAATAACATTCTAATGGGGTACCATGAAAGACAGCAAGCGGGTCGCTGGGATTACACAGCATGGGGAATTAATGAAAATGGAAAATTTACCGATTTTATGTAATTAAGTGATTTATACCCTCTCGTAAAGAGTCTAGTCTGTAAGGAATGATTGAACTGCGCGTACTTTATTTACCGCAGGATGGCATGAGCAGGTTACGCGATAGTTGCTATCTCTATATCTGTTACCCTCGTGATCGCGTCAATTGGTCTAAACCTTATACCTCGTGCAGTTTTTTTTACCATTCGATTTGATCGGCCCAACAACTCCTACTTTGCGCATCTATACACGGTCAAAATCTTCGCGATTCTGCGGAAATCGGGCTAAATAGCGCGACCCCCCTAAGTGAGCAATAGGACGAACTCCCTTAATGAGAAGAATTAATGATGCTTTGCGCAATTCTTTTGCCTTTCCAGTTTTTCTTTCTTGTTGTCAAAGAAGTACGTGATGCAGCTGCCCTTCATTGTGAAAAATAAAACATGTATATGTGAAATTTTCTCATTTCTTCGTTTGTTCATCAGGATGAAAACGTAGACTTTTGCCATTTCATGGTTTTCTTTCAACTTTACCAGAGCATAATTTAAATGAAAAAATTCATCATTCCCAAAATTTCTACTTA